GATCTGTTAGTTCGAGACCAGCCTGGTCTACACAGAAAGTTCCAGGACAGCCACAGCAGTTACACAGAGAAACCCTGTCTCGAAAAATAAAAAAGGAAAGAAAAAAGAAAGAAAGGAGAGAGAGACAGAGAGGAGAGGGGACATACCCTGAGAGCCAGGCATTGGTGGCGCACGCCTTTAATCCCAGCACTCGGGAGGCAGAACTCTGTGAGTTCGAGGCCAGCCTGGTCTACAAGAGCGAGTTCCAGGATAGGCTCCAAAGCTACACAGAGAAGCCCTGTCTCGAAAAACCAAAAACACAAAAAAAAAAAAGAAAAGAAAAAGAAGAAGAAGGAAAAGGAAAAGGAAAAGAAAAGAAAGAAAGAAAGAAAGAGAAAGAAAGATACCCTGGGACTGATAGAGTTCACACCAACACCTGTGACTCTCATGTCCTTAGTTCCTTGTGCTTCCCTGCGGGTGTTCTTACCTGTCCTCTCCCATTTCCTAAGGTTTGTATGTAACCAGGGCACAAAGCCATCACCCACACTTTGGGAATGGAAAACAGAGACAGCAAGAGCCTGAAGTCAGGAGCTGGAGAGATGGCTCAGTGGTTAAGAGCATTGGCTGTTCTTCCAGAAGACCTGGGTTCAATTCCCAGAACCCACGAGGTGGCTCACAAGTATCTATAAATCCAGCCCCAGGGGATTCAACGTTCTTTTCTGCGGGGAGCCAAGCCTACACGAGTGTGGTGCACAGACATACATGTAGGCCAAACATCCATACACATAAATAAGAAGGTAGAGGTAGAGATGAAACCCGGGAGAAGAGCCAAGCTAAACAAATAGACTTCAAATCTAAACCCCATGGATTTAGTCAGGCACACCGGAACATGCCGGACCAGGCTGAGTCAGGAGGATCAAAAGTTCAAGGCTAGCCTGGGCTACATAGTGAGACCTTGTTTCAAATAAAATAAAAATCCTTTCGTTCCCTGATTTCAAGACAGACCTCTAGCAAGGTGATGCCTGTAATTGAAATTTGTGATTTAGGAGTCTTTGACCCTCCCTGATGTTTCTGCCTCCCTACCCTATCCCTCTCTTACCTGAAAGTAACGGGCAGGTTGGGACTCTCCTCACTAACGCCAGTGGGCTGGCAGGTTTTATATGGAGGCCCCCTCCCTCCATATCAGTTAGCTCCTCTGTCCTAGGCCAAAGTCCTGGCCAACAGAGCCGCTGAGGGGGTGGGGTGGCAGGGCTGGAAGGGCAGTGGCCAGTGACGTTCCCTGTCAGGTCAAACCACAGGGAAGCCCCACTTTGAAAAAGCTACCCACAAACTGGGCAGAGCTGTGACCCCAAGCGCCCTCAGAAGCCTGAGGCAGGAGGATCATGAATTCAGAGTGAGTGCAAGAACCACGGGGCAAGCTGGGCGTTGGTGGCGCACGCCTTTAATCCCAGCACTCAGAGGCAGAGGCAGGCAAATCTCTGTGAGCTAGAGACCAGCCTGGTCTATAGAGCGAGTGCCAGGATAGGCTCCAAAGCTACACAGAGAAACCCTGTCTCGAAAAACAAAACAAAAGAAAAACAAAAACAAAAAAAGAACCACTGGACAAGGTACCAAGATTTTATCTGCAAACAAAGGGGCTCTGTTTGGGTTTTATTCACAGAGGATCTCATAGAGCCCAGGCTACCCTGGAACTCTCCGTGTAGCTGAGGCTGTTCTTGAGCTTCTGGTCTTACAGGTGCAAGGATTACAGGCTTGTAGCACCATGCCCAGCTAGAAATGAAAAATAAAGCCAGTCAGGGCAACATGATAAGTTCCAGGGCAGCCAGGGATACATAGCGAGAATATATATATATCAAAGTAAAAGAATTCTGGGAGGTTGCTACCAAGACCAACGACCTGAGTTCAGTCCCCCAAGAGAAGGAAGAGAACAATTCCTGAAAGTTGTCTTCTGACTTCTACATGTACAAATGTCGTGCGCGCACGCACACACAAACACACATGTGTGCAAATAAATGTAATTTTTAGCAGACCATTGCCTCACTCAGCTACCTTGACATCTCCTAAATAAATGTAATTTTGTTTTGTTTTCTGAGACTTTTTTTTTTTTTTTTTTTTTTTTTTTTTTTTTTTTCTTTG